TCTAAAGATATGGAAAAGAGCCAGATGTGGCCAGCGGGGTTCCCTGTGGCCAGTGGGGTTCCCTCAGAGCCCAGGCTTCCAGCCCAAATGGACAGAGAGCAAAAGCAGACCAACTACCCTACATAAACATGTGTACAACAGCTTCTCATCAGCTGGGGAGTGTGTCCATGGCCCAGAAGCTCAGACGTGGGCATCACAGGCCCACAGCGCAATGGCCAGGAGTCACCTGGAGCCTCTACACCATTAGCTTGACGCTGTGTTAAGTGACTCACATACCACTGATCATCTATCAACAATTTAAAAAGTACTGCTACATAAAATGGCACAGAATTATCAGGTAGAAATTCTGTTCACTTTTAGAGAGCCCAAGAATGATGGTTTTCAAGAGAGAATAGATGCAAAAGTTACTGACAGAATATGGGAATGTGAAATCTTGGTGGAAAACAAGTGAGGTCAGCCACAGCATCACTCCAGTAGAAACTGGGGGGTGGGGGTCCAGTTCCTGTGGGATGACATACCAGGCTCCTTTTGGGTTTCCTGCTACTGAGAGAAAAGAGCTCTGTGGCAGTGCTGAGGACCGCCTCTCCTGGGTGCTATGTCAGTGCAGGTTACAGGTTACTTAGAGATCATCTTTAAATCTGTTAACCAAATCCAAAATGCAAAACTCCCCACTTCTAATTTCTTTTAGAGTTATACTATTTAATATTTAAACAAAACTTCCAGTCCAGATTAACTCATGCTTTGAGGCACTACCTTTATTCCAAGCATACAGAAATTGGAGGGGGCAGGTTGGGGAAAAGGAAAAGTTAAAGACGAAGATGCTTCCCAAGGTGAATGCAATCATTATGTATTACAAAGATATATCAACAACAAAAATGTGATATTTAAGAAAATCCAAAATGCATTCAATAATCATATTAATGGTAGTGTTGATGATACTGTTACTGCCACGGTGCTTTGTATATTATTTGGGGTGAAAGAAAATCAATAAGTAGGTGATATTCTAATACTATCTGTTGCTGGCATGCTTGAGAAATAAAACTCTCTTTCAAGGAAAAAGGATACACAAGTTTGACAAGCCAAATCTCTGCACTGTCAAATCCAAATTGGAAATGTTGCTATGAATTTATGACCTGTTATGGAAAAACATAGCTCCATTCACGTAAAAGAAACCCCTACACCCAACGACTAAAACAGTAAGAGCAACATTTCTGGTCCCGGACTATTTGTTCATCTAGAGCAAGAAATACACAGATAAGCCTGGAAGAGCTCTTCACCCTAGACAGCAGGAAAGATATCAAAACCTACAAGACAGGCTTCTGGTGACAAAAAAATGGGGCAATTTGATCATCAACAAGAATAGAAGCTGCAATGGACTAAAATGGCACATGCTTTAATCTAGGCTTTTATAATACTATTTAAAAGAAAAACTAGTGTTCACCACCTGGGGATCCTCAGGAATAAACTCATTACTCTGCAAACTGGATAAATTCAAACATTTTTCTTGACTTTCCTCAACTCCATTCCTGTGTAACTGAACTAAAATTCCACTTTATGGAAACATTCCTGCTAGTAAGGGAAGAAAAATTATAGAATATGGCCATGTTGCAATAGCTAACAAATTAACTGATTATTAAGCATCACAGAGGGACAAGCAGCATTAAATGCCTACTGTTAGAACACAATTCCATCTATGATGCAGTCTTGCTCAAAGGAAGAGAAAAAAGAAGCTTCAAATCTGCTACAGGGTCTAGGTTCAAATACCAATTCATGTAAAAAATGTAGGGGATAGAAGAATATATTAAAAATATGCCACAGGAATATGACCCCCCCAAAAAAATCTAGATTATGCAGAACTCTAGAGAAGAAACAAGTAGATTTCATCAATAAATAAATAAAAAGAGAAAAGATAGGAAAAGAAGAGAAAATAAACCTAAAAAAGACATGAAACACCATATATTGGGAAAAATGTAGGTGAGAAAAAACTTGTGACACAGGGCAGAAAACTGGATATCTGCATGCTAGATAGTTAATAGTATGGAATTACTCTTCATATGTTTGGTCTAATAATTATATAGTGATACTGTTAATTATATAGGGAGACATAAAATCCATACAGCATTGAGATTTTGTTTTCTCAATATCTGAAATCAGGGCTGGGGAATGAAAAGCACATGATGATCTCAGAGTATCTGATTCGAGCAAACTGCTCAAAAAGGAAAATATGTCAATACGATGCTGAGGTCAGTTTGATGGGAATTCAATTAGACAAACTGGGACAAGTAGAGCATCAAGATGAAAAATGACAAGAACAGGTCCACAAAAGAATCCACACATCAGTGGAAACACACAAACCAAAAAAGAAAAGAATCTGTTCTCTATTTAAGCATGCCAGCCAATAAATATAGAAGATATGGGAGAACTGGAAAAATCATTGTTTTTCAATCTTAAATCTAATAACTAACTCAAACAAAAATTATCACTTAATCCATTTTGTGAAAGGTCAAATTTAATTCATGATCAAAATGCTTATATCATCTCAAAGTGTCTACTCACAGATTAATCATTAATTACAAAAGCAAAAGATAAACCTTTATAGTGGAAAGATTGGCTGATCATGCCACTTCCAAGGAGTCAAAGCAAACCTTCCAATCATGGGATACACTCTCTTTATGAGAGGACTCTCTTTAGAAAGACCTAAGGAACTCAAATAACAAGGTCCAGTCGGATTGAAACAAACTGAAGAGCACTCTATGACACAACAAGCCGGTACATTTCAAATCAATAATGCCCTAAAAAAGAACGGGGAAAAAAATGTCAAATTAAAGCAACTAAAGAGACACAATTGCAGAAAAGAGTGTGGAGTCCTAGACTAAAACTTGGCTTGGGAGAAGAAAACTTACTGTAAAGTAGAGTGTTAAGTCAGTGCAAGTTTAATATGTACTGTATAGTAGATATTTATATTTCATCACTACTAAATTTTGTGAATTTAGAAAAAACAAGAGAAGAAATACAGTGACATGGCCAGGCTGAAAAGCAAACACAGAAATGCTGCCCACACAGAATGCAGCAGTGACTGAGATCTACGACTCAGAGCTGAGCAGGAGTGGTGGAGTGGACACTTGTCAGGTCCAGATCCCTAGCTGGGCTCTGGCCTTGTCACTGGGGCCTGGGCCACAGTTTCCTGAGCACAGTGCAGGGGACGCTGATAACAGCAGCCAAGTGGCAAGTGTGGAAATCTGAGTCTCCAAATACCCTCCTTAGATGAGGTCCTAAAGAATTTGGAAAGAAGCAATTTCAGGGGGACATAGGTAGAGAAAGGGAAAAGGAAAAACTGAAAATGTTTTGCAAGCAAAACTGAATCTGTAAATTAAAATTTAAAACACACATTGGCATTCATGCTAAAAAGACAGATAACCAAATAATCATTACTAGATAACTGGATTCTGGATGAGTTTGCAATAATAAAATAGAATGAAAAATAATTTAAGTATGCTTACAGTCCACAGAGGTAAACAGTAGCCAAATACAAAATAAGAAAATATTTTGCAAATTGTAATAAGTTGCAGGAAAGAAGCACACTGGAAATAAGAACTGATTATTGGGGTAAAAAGCACATTTCCTGTTAAAATCAAACACATGAAGAAATGCAGTCAATTGGAAGGTAATATTGAAAAGCTACCCACAATTCATCTTACAGTGAGAAATCAATTTTAGAATATGTAGTATCAGTTAAGAACTATGTATGCTATTTTGAGAGTTTCAAAAAACTACTCATAGAATCCAGAAGACAAAAATAAAGGAAGTTTTAGGGAAATAATGTTTAAAGAAAAGAAAATTCCGCATCAACATTAGGTAACCAAAGGCAGTGGTATACTATTTTCATTGTTAATAATTACTATATACCAATCTAAAAATTTATACCAAGCCAAATTATCATTCAGGTGTGAGGTGAAAATAAAGACATTTTCAGATAAACATTAACTAAAAAAAAGTATCACTTTTAGTATCTCACTGGAAAAAAAAACAAAGTATTTCAGTAAGTAAAAGGAATAAAGGAATAGATGAAGTATGAGGAAAATTGACCATAGAAAATTATGTGTAAAAATGCCAGTGTTGACACTGCAGGCAGTAATAGCAGAATCAAACCTTGAGACAACAACAAGGTTTAGTAATACCCATTGCATAACATTCCTCTAGTCCAGAAGGAAACACACATTCAGACCTTTTTCATTAAAATTTGTAGTGAATAAATTAAAATATTAAGTATAACAGTCAAACAAAATAGAACTATAATTTTTATCTTCTAGTTGGTACTAGAAATGTGAAAAATGAAACAATCTTGCAGGAGCAGAAACAAAATAAAAGAATCAAAGTACAAGGAAAATAAAAAATCATTAATCAGACATAAAAGCTTAACTATCACATTCTCTTATATGAGAAACCCAAATTATATATAAAGAGCAAAATAAAAAATAGATAACAAGAAGTAGGGAGATAAATCTTTTGCACAAAGTAAAGGGATAAGAGATGGAGAAAGGAAGAGGGGAGGGAAAGAACATCAAAAAATGAATTAAGATGTGTTATATACATATACCAACTCCACAAGAGGGATGTAAACATTAGGAACAGCAAATGTGTACTAATAAAAAATTTAAAACAAACTAACAAAAACATCTACATAAATAAAGTATATCAATAGTACAAAAATGAATACACCAAAATCTACAGTTAAAAGACTACAAGGGAAATTATAAAATCAGATTACTATCAATAATTGTGCACCCACAAATTAGATAACCCATATGACAATGAAAATTTTCTGTTCGGTATACTAGCAAACTGAATTCACTACATGTCAAAAGGTTCCATACCAGAACTAAGTGAAATTTATTCCTGGAATGCAAAGATGGCTTAACCAATCTATTTTATTAGATCCCATTCTATACTTATTGATGATACATATGATGTGGTTAAAGTTGCTTTCAGTTGCTTTCTGAGACCATCTGATCAATGTTCTAGCAAAGCCTAAAGGCAACCCTGCTTGTGGAGATGTTGGGGAAGACTACTCACTCACCTCCCTGAAAGCTGTCACATTTTCTACTGTGTTCCACCTGGATCCAGCACTCTAGGTGGCTGAATTGTGGGGCTAATAGCCTCAGTTGGGATCTCCTGAGACCAGACTCGTGGCCAGACTCATGTAGGGTAAGGAGGAGTAGCTCAAGTGCTGCTGGTCCCAGGCTTAGAGGAACAGCCCTGCAGAGCTGCCACAATGTCTCCAGGCCTTTCTCAGGCTGAAGAGGACATGTAGAAATGGAGAAATGAGTGAGTGGGTTTACTGACCAGGAGAGGAGTGCTGGTGGGCACATATGCAGAAAAGAGAGTGAATGTGGTTGGACAGTCCCAGGAAAGTAGACCCAGCCTGGAGCACCTTGTGTGTATGGACGCAGCAGGCAACAGGACAAGACATTAGAATTAGGGCACCAATGCCATACTCTACAATGCAGCCAGTCCATGTCACTCCCTATCGCATGCCTCCTACTAGAGCATAGAGTGAACACTGCAGCTTTCTATTGCTTCCATAAAAACGAATTACGAGCACAGGCTTAAAACAATACTAGCTTAGCATTTTGAAGATCTGTAGGTCAGAAGTCCAAAATGGTTCTCACAGGCAAAGATCAATGTACTGGGGACTGCTTTCCCTCGAGAGCTTCAGGAGAAAATCCATATCTTCCTTTTTACAGCTTCCAAGTGGACCCAGCCCTTGCCTCAGCTTCAGATCACCTCAATTCCTTCCACGCCTTCGTCTTGCCAGGACTCATTCTTCCACCTGCCTCTTAGGGACCACTGTGATTACACGAAATCTCCTGGATCTCCTGTATTTGAGGGTTAGCTCGTTACGCACCTACCTCCCTGTAAAACCTTTCTTCCCGTTGCTATTCACAGGGCCTAAGAATCAGGTCGTGGACCTCTCTGGGGTTATTACTTTGCTCACCGTGGACACAGCCCCTTTCTAGGAAGGGAGCTGAAAACTGAGCCAAGAGGGTTGGTTAGTGAGTACTGCGTTACTTCCTGTAGGAACCCCCAAAATGGAATGGCAGATTCCCAGAAGTCTGGTAGTGATCCCATGAAATTTCTACCAAGTGAAAATACCAAAAGACTTAGTGATCCTCCAATTACATGAGCTTTATCAGAGTTTCTCAGTCAGCAGACATTGGCTATGTCCTTCAAGGAGACACTTTTGCGACCATGAGCACACTAGCTAGAAGAGATAGGCTCTGGGAAGACACTGAGTGTTAGGTCGGTAGACTTTCTCAAGCCTTCCACTGCAATATGAGCCACAGCAGCAGGTAAATATCACACACACGTACATGGTGGAGCCACATGAAGCATCAGGGGTGCTGGGCCACAGAGCACACATCCGCCACAGGGAAGTTCACGAAATAGCAGTATAGGTCCAGACGGAGGGTCCCCATGGGTCCAAAGCGGAAGCTTGTTCCACACCACCAACACCAAGTCAGCAAGATGGTATGCACCAGTTTGGTGACAGATGACTGACCCTTGCCCGGGTGGCACGTAAACAATTCTGAGAAGGAATCAGAGTGTGGAATCCAGGGAGCAGCTTTCCCTCTGCAGGCTTCCAGGATCTGTCCCCAGACACTTCCTCCTGTCATCTGTTGGTTCAGTGTAGGTCCTTGGTTTGTTGTTGTTTGTTTTCTGTTATTTTTTGCTTTTGGAAAGTAAATGTGGCTTGTTGACAATTTCCTGGGCCTTCCCATGGTTCCCTAAGCCACATAAAGTAGAAGAGTCACTTTTCAATTAAATTCTAGTCATTAATACATTCCTTTCTCATTATTTTAAACCTATTTCAATCTAGCTTGCCAAATCCATAAAATTTCAGCCAAAAAGCAATAAAAATAAGTGCCTGGCAGTCTGTTGTGAAAAGTGTGGTATGCTGAGCACCCAAGCCATGCTCAAGTAGGATGAAATGCTGGTTTAAAATGAGAGTGAGGGCCAGGGATTTAGCAGAGGTTCCACCACCTGCTTCACAAGTGCAAGGTCCCAAGTTCGATTCCCTGTACCAAAAAAACAAAACAAGACAAGACAAGAGGGATAGGTTAAATTTGAAGTTTGCCAGACAATGATTCATGGGAGAGGGTGATGTCCTTGAAACACATCAAAAGCAAGACAGATAATGAATTTCAGAAGGATGGAGGGAGGGAGAGTGTACAGCTGTGCACTAAATACATGGCACAGTGATAGCTATAGCATAGAACTCTTCTCACATCCTTTCACAATAGATACATAGTAGTCATTTGTCTAACATAAAGGTGTCCTGTTACCACTTTGTATTCTTTCAAGATTTCTATGAAAATCAATTATTTCAGACAGTAGCCTTCTTAAAAAGTAAAAACTGTACCTTCTATTTCATCCTGTACAATTTGCTACAATTCCTTACATGAAGCCTGACAAGCAAGGCAGTATTACTTAGTTATGATTACACCTGTAAATCAGTAAGTGGCACGTAGCATTCCATGTGACAATGACCATGTTATAATGAAGAAAATTTTTTCTTTGGAGAGGAATACAGACTATATAAAATCAGATCCCCATAATGTTACTATGTTCTTGTAGAGAATTCCTAAGATTCTGGTGAGCTCCAGTTAAAAATCACCTGTTAATTATCAAAATCTGCTTCTATTTATGAAATCTCTCTGGTGAGAGAGAGGAGAAGGAAGGAAAAAGTGGGACTTGTGAGTGAGTGATTCCCCTAATAAGCCACTTGATACTTATCAGTCTTAACCCACTGAGGCAATAATAAAAGCTAATGTGCACTGATCTCTTATCACAGAGAGACACACATGCCATTTCCTTTAAACCTTGATAAATGTTTGATCCTCTTTCTGGACACAAAGAAACAGAGACTCATAATGTGAGATCTGTCCCAGGTTAGGTCAATTGTCACTGGTAGAGCTTTGACTCAAACACAAGCAAGACTGGCAGCCTTCTCGCCCCACTCCAAATACAATCCTCAGACCAGCAACAATCAACACCATTCCTGAGTCTGACAGACTGCAAAGTCCAGTCCACTTCAGACTCATCAAACTAAAATATGCATCTCCATGTGCCTTCAGGCACCAAGAAGGCACATTAAAGTTTGAGAAGGGCTGACAGATCCAATTCCATTAACCTCCGGGCTAGTGCTGCTCAAATTGTGTGATCAAAATCATCTGACAGGTTTATTAAGACAGACATTTGGGCCATTCCCCCAGACTGCTCCACTGAGTAGGATTGCACATATCTGCGTCTCTTCAGAAGTCCCAGGAGATGCTGATGCTTTCCAAGATCCACACTGCAGTACAGATAGCCTCTGCTGCCATCATTATCAGGAGCAGGCGGGCTATCTGAATCCTTTCAGGCTGGTAAAATGACAAACAGATCTTCCAGAAGTTAACTGTGCAGTATATGTTTGCATCTTTACATTTACTTTTGTTTTCAATACAATTAAACATGTTTGAAAAGTGCAGTGTTTCATTGTAGCTAGAAGGTGAACATTTTGCGACTTTAGAAACTATACTTGGGAAATTTCCAAGCACTGATTTTTCCCAAGTTTTCTATTTTCATTGTTTTCCCTTTGATGGGAGAAAACTGGCAAACATATCACATTCATCTGAGATTTCCAAAAAGACGTAATCATGACACATGTAATAATCCATATGTCATTAAAATATCCTGCCTTACATAACAAATATTGAGCAACTATAAATTATAATCCACTTACATGCTGACAGAACTTGAAAGAAGTGATCAAAAGAAATTCAAGGGTCTTGCTGGTGCCCATCTTAATGAAGTAACTTTACCAAATGCCTGATTTAAGATTTCTAAATCCTGCCTTTCCTACTAATTATTGTCTGAGAATCCAGTGAAACCAAAATATTGTGCCAAATGAAAATCAAGTCTGATTGAATAAGGATATAAATATGGTGATCCCAAGAATACAAGAGAGCAATAGATTACAGTAAATTTGCAGACACACATTAGTAGGGTAAAAGCACAGTTGTAAATTAGTCATCCACTTCTATTTATTATCCTCAAAAAGTGTGTATTCTTTACACTGAATATATAGGACCTCTCAGAGTACTTGTGATCTAAGGCTGTCTCTTACTTTGAGTTCCTATGTGGCAAACTGCAATCTAACTTAGTCTAAAAGAACCACAGCCCAGCTGTGAGTCTGTTCTTATAACAAATAGCTGAGTTTTCACCAATCACAGCAAGTGACCATCAGCCAGTTGTAAGCTGCCAACTGTTCAGACCACACCAAAGAAGTCTATGCCAGGCTGGAGCCCATCAGGCTGTTTCTATATATTTTTCTGTTATTTATAAATCCCACCCAACCTCTGCTGGTGATACCATGTATGAATCATTCTTTGCTCAGATAAACTCTGATAAATTTAATATATGTAAAGTTTTCTTTTTGACAGATAACTACTATATTTAACAATATAATGTGATATTTTGATACATAGGTACAGTGTGTAATGATCAAATCAGTATAGTTAGTATATCTGTATTTTAAATATTTATCTGTATTTTAAATATTTATGTGAGAACACTCACATCTCTTTTAGCTATTTTGCAATATATACTAAATTATTGGTAACTATGGTCACCTTACTGTGCTGTAGAAAACTAGAATTTATTCCTCCTAACTGTAATGTTATGCTTGTTGACCAATCTTTTCTCATTTCCTTCTCTACCCTAACTTTCAAGGCTCAGGTAACCACCACTTACTCCTACTTCTATAAGATCAACTGTTTCAGCTTCCACACAGAAGTCAAATTTATCTCTCTGAACTTATTTTACTTAAAATAATATCTTCTGTTCCATCTGTGTTGCTGCAAATGGCAGGACTTCCTCCTCTTTTAAGCTTGACTAACATTCTATTGGGTATGTACACCATATTTTCTTTTTCCATTCTCCCGTGAATTCTTTGGTAGATTTCATATCTTGGCAATTGTGAATACTGCTGCAACAAACATGGAACTGCATGCATCACTTACAAGTACTAATTTATTTTCCTTTTGGTTATTCTAATAGGGAAATTGACTGATCATATGGTAGTTGTATTTCTGACATTAAGAAAAACATCCATAATTTTCTTGATGGCTGTACTAATTTACATCTTGCCAACATTATATAAGAGTTTTCTAAAGGATGCAACAGTTTGGTGTCAAAATTGGGATCTGAAGTAGACCTCCAGTGACCCCTAAGAGCACCAAGTAACTGAGTAAAGTTATCCACCAGACCCCACTCATCCTGATCTCTCACTGGAACTAGAGTTAAGACTGAGTTCTCACTCATATTCAAAATCTGCATATTTGTTTTGAGCTCTCCAACTTTATTTGAGCGATTTCTTACTGGACTGGGTCCATGATCATATTGTATTCAATAATTAAACAGACTCAATTACCCAGTTAAAGGAATTGAGTAGGTACTTTTGAAAATGAGTTTCTCCAATGTTTTAAGAAGTCAGGGATTCCACTCTGTGGGATACTAATTAAATTTATGCACAAAATTTAGGGGCTCAAAACTTGTATACTTTTGAAAACACACTAAGGACAAATTAGAATTACAGAAGCTACAGTGGGGAAATTTTTACCTAGATAAAAATATTCATTTCTGAGGTACTTAAGAATAAAAAGATCCAAAATGCCACAAAAGCAATGCAATGCACTCTTTCATTGGTATACAGAGGCATATAAAAGAATAAATGTCTTTTTTTAAAGTTCCTTATAGAAGACAATTAAAAAAATATTTAAAGTCTTTTTTACAAATGGTCAAAATCTTTAGATATACAGGCAGAAAATATTATCCTGTTGGTCGGAAGAGTAGTTTGGATATAGATATTTCTAAATAAATTGGTGAGTTTTGTGCTACAAATTTGTATCCAAACATTTCTAAAATTTTGTTTTGTTTTTTGAGACAGGGTCTCACTATGTACTTGAGAATGACCTGGAACTCACTATGTAGCACAGGCTCATCTGGAACTCACACTGATCTTCCTGTCTCAGCCTCCCGAGTGCTGGGATTACAGCCATGAGCCAACACACCTGGCCAAAGCACTTTTTTTTTTTTTTTTTTTTTTTTTTT